CATTGTTGGCCTGTTTCGAGGATCTTGTTGAATGCATTCTTCAATAATCTGATAAATGATGTCAACTTCTTCTTGCTTAAATGATTTTAACGTTGGATCGACCGTGTTGTCATCCACATATTGCTGCTGCTGAGAAATAAATGGAACATAAAAACCTATTTTGTAAATAAATAAAAAAAAGAAAAAAAAAATGTTACCGAAGGTAGAAGAGGTCCTTTGTTGCCAGAAATGATTTCGCGCATTAAGAGGCCAAAACAGTAGACGTTTGTCTCCGTATCGATCAGTGGTGGCAGTTGAGAATGGTCATCCGCTGTTGATACTTTTGATTTTGACATGAAATCTCTCCAGAAACTCATCTCTGCAACCTGAGAGTTAAACAAGTAAATAAAACATGACGTATAATATAACATGAAATGAAATGAAGTTGAGTTACTTTGGGTGCATAATCTTCGGTCAAACGGATCATTGTGGAGTCGAGGTTTGAGTGGGGTATGGGAGGATTCAATTCGTGCATGTATTCAAGACAGTAAGCCGTTCCCATAATAATTCTCATCCTCGAACGCCAATCAAGATGCTCAAGCTCTTTAACTATATATATATATATATATATATATATATATATATATATATATATATATATATATATATATATATATATATAACACCAAACAAACGTTATCTTGTATCAGGATTTTAAAAAATCAAAATGATAAACAACCAGTTCTCTTACCATGTAGATGCTCCGAGAGTGAGCCATTAGGAGCATACTCAAACACCATCATCCTAGCAAAAGGTTCATCCTCCTCACAATAACCGATAACATTAACAAAGTTTTTGTGATTCACTCGTGACAACACATCAATCTATAAAAAAATTTCAAAACCAAACATCATATATGTTATTGTTATGTTAGCTACACAAGTTATTCGTTGTTCGGTGTATATAGATAGATTACGAACTTGCAAATAAGCAAACCTTCTTACGGAAGCCTAATTCGGCACGCTTTGACCAGTCTTTGAGACTCGTCATACTGGTTGATGCAACACAAATCTCGACTCCACTTGATAATGTTCCTTTGTATAGAGTGTAACCTTCTGTTGTCTCGATAATGTTGCTGAAATCCTCGCATGCTGTTTCTAGCTCCATCCGGTTTAGCTTTGGAACACCTGATAACATATGTAGTAAAAGTAGTAAATTTTTGTATTTCCAATCAGGGGACATATGGTATATGCATGAACATTAAGTCATTTTTGTTTAAAGAAATATTACCAGTAACAAAAGCTTTCTGCAACTGGCCACTGATACCAGTTCTCCAAGGAGATATTGTCTTCACTGCCCGACTTCGACACACGCACCAAAGAGTTGTGCAGATGATTAGCACAAGGATTAGGCAAAATATTATGACCAAAATCTTCCACATGTTTGAATTGGATTCACTTTCTTGACTTTGATTTTCAGAAGTTGAGTCTTTAAAGGGGCCATGTGATGATGGTGGGGGATTATTATTATTAATATTAATAGGTGTAGGTTCTTTTTTTTCTTTTGGTACAGCAGGAAATGATCCGCTGCTTCTACTACTTGGGAGATTTATAATTTTTGGGGGACCAAATCCGTCAATTGGAGAAGGTGCAGCTGCTAGATTTGGAGATTGTTCTGCTAGTTTTCGGCGTACGATATTCCCATCATGTTCTTGTTTCACATCTTCTTCTGATTCAGCTCCTGATTTACACATGCAAACAAGATTATGTTTGTTTGTTATGCAGGACAGGATAAAACAGTTTTGTACATTAAGAAATAAGTAGCAATTATATAATAAAGTGGTAAGGCAGGGGCAGTTTGGTCATTCTCCTGATTAGGTCGGTTTACAGTAGTTTAAATAAGAGTATGGGCGTCTTACTTTTTTCAGTGTTAAGACAATTGTGTGAGGAGCACTTTCCATGCATGACACTTGAGCAAAGAAAGAACAAAAGAAAATTAGTTAATAAAACAAATAAGAAAAACATTAAGTTCCAAAAAAATCGCAAGTTTTTCCTTACAATTTGAGGTAATGATTAACTGTTTCTTTAATCCATATTAGAAGAGGATCAGCTTTCTTTAGAAGTTTAAAATCTCCCTGCCAGATGCTGTTCACAATAGTAATACAACACAATAAGTAGACATTCTCCTTTCATGATTATAATAAAAAAATGATAGATCACAGTTGAATCTATCATATACCCCAGGCATTTTAACAGATTCACAGGAACAAAACCACTCAATAATACCAGTAAATTAAAGATAGATTTCCATTCATTCGAGAGGAATGGTCTCTCCAAGAAGAACAAAGTTCTTTACAGATTAATTCTTCGCTGCCTACTTCCTAGAACATAAGGACTATATATACTATCACTAAAGACTAGAGACAAAAGGAATAACAGCCAACGTAATCAGGTGCTGTTCCCACTAACAAAACAGCCAATAACAATCATAATACCAAAAAGACCATTCTACCCCTAAAGCCCAATAGATAACAGAATGATTCTAATAAAGCAAATCAAATAAAAGCACTCTAGGATTAGTTGGGGCTTATCAAAAAAATATAAAAAAAGGAAATCAAGTAATGATGGGGTACATACTCATCATTCACTACACAAACTTTCAACACCAATCATTCAAATCATGAATGAAATGTTTGTAACACAATACTTTGAAGAAACATGCTTAGTAACTTTTATCTGGTGATTGTTGCTTGAAAGTTTGTGCACTTGATATTGAGTTCAAAAAGCAGCGAACTTTAGTTTATTTTTGCATTATAACAACTTACATTCATTTTTTCTTATTGAGGCATTGTACTTTGATAAATCTAACCATCTATACAAGTTGATGCTATGGCTTTCAAAGTACAATGCTCTAATTGGAAAATTATGAAAATCGGATATGCTATAATAAACAAACCATTAAAATTTTTTAAAAGGAGGGTGCTGCTTCTTGCATTTAAGCCATGTACATGGTGATGATAATATGATTAATGAGTATGCCCAAAAGAATGTGGAACCTCTTACCAACGTCCAAATTTCCTATTTAGACATCCAATCCCATCTGCAACAAGGGATAAAAGATTTTCATCATATTGCATTTCATACAGAAAGTTGAGAGTCCTGAGCTCCATGGGAATCGATCCTTCAAGATTGTTGTTACACAGCAACCTAGAGTACAAAACTTCCAAATTAACTAATATGATCAAAGTGCATGAGCATACAATGAGATAGATTTGGTGTACAGATGTGAGGGAGTTAGTTATTTTACTTACAACTGTTTTAATGAATGCATTCTTCCTAGCTCTGAGGGAATAAATCCACTGAAGTTATTATCCCTCAAGTCTAGTATCTCCAGCATTGTGAGCTCACCAAGCTCTTTGGGAATAGCTCCTGAGAACTGATTCTGTGAGAGGACACTAGTAAAACACGAATGCATGAGCACCAGAGGGAGAATATTAACAAAAAATAATCTTTAAACTTATTAATATTAATATCGACTCTTGATAAATTCATTTCTCTCACATTTGTGTGCTCTCTAGTGATTCTAAGGTGCTATTTAAGCTGTAAGTGTTTCTTTATAGCTTAATGCAAAAAGAGCGGCTTACTTGAGAAAGGAGGCTTTCTCCATTAAGTTGTAACTTTTTACAAATTTGACCTCAGTGTCCAAGTAATGTTACTTATTTACCCATTATAAATGTTAGACAAACCAATTGCATCAATTTATTTCTTTTTGCAAAAGAGTTTGTAAATTCCTTGACTTTCTCTATTAAGTTGTTCTTTCTGCATTAACTCAAAAAGAAACACCTACATGTAACTTAATGGATTAAGTCTTGTCCCCATTATTTCCAAAAGGAACATCTGCTAAAACATTGATGAACCACATCCTTATTTACATCTATCGTACCACTAAACCATGGATAGAAGAAACCATATATCATTATACCAAGTGGGGTATAATCAAAAACTACATAATCACTCAAACATACAATACTTTTATAAGAGGACATAACTGAAGAAAAAACAAGAAGCCTACCAAACTAGCAGAGAAAATAGAATAACACTTACAGATGTCTCAAATGAGTAAGGTTCCCAATCTCAGGTGCCAATACTCCTTCCAAAGATAGCCCGTTGAGATCCCTTCAAAAAATACAAAACACATCACAAATCATATTCATTCTAGATATAAGCAACATTGTAGGCATAAAATTTAGTCCTATACATTCATTTGCATAGTGAAAAGCAGAGAGCAATGGACTTACAAGACTTGAACATTACCATCAACACAAAGAACATTAGACCATGAGCATGGGTCAAGGTCACTGGGATTCCAACTTGTGAATGCGCCATATGGATCACAAGACACTCCTGCCCGAAAATCCAACAAGGCCACACCTGTATTCCAATTACAAACAACCTAGAAATATTTATATACATGTACACAAATTAAAAAGGTCCCACAACCAACATAGGGGAGGTGGGCATTTGGAATGCAGAATGTTTGGAATATGAGGGAATTGAATTCTATCATGGTATCTAACAAGCTACTTTTTTGTGGAATGTTACAAAACTTACCCTCTGGATTCAGTGAAGAACAGCTGTGAAGAAGAATCAAAAGCATGAAACAAGATAAACAGAGTTTATATGTTGTCCATCTACACCCCATTGCGGTGGTGGAGGCAGCGGTGGTTTCTGCCAACAGCCAGGACTCTACAAATTGCTAAAGAAAATTCCCAGCTTTAATGGTGACAAAGCCTCCTTCAATATAACTGATCACTCAACCAAAACCAACAACAATCTTTCTTTTTCGGGGTTTTGATGATAAAAGAATGTAGAACCAATAAAAAAAATGGTAATCTATACCCCTAAGAAAACCCTATTTTACAAATACAACAACACATACCCCTCTTCAACTTAATGATCAAATCGGGGTCCCTCATTTTATGGGTTTCTAATCTTTTTTGCCATAATGCCTCCTTTGTGGCATTACTTGACAAAAATGTGCAAAAACTTGCAATCTTGAAGGTATTCAAGTGGAACCTGAAAAATGAAAGATTTTAGAGAGATGTCAGAAAACCAACAAGATTTTTTGTATTTCACACAAATAGAACCAGAAAAGAATAAAAAGGCAATGGTTAAGAATACCCTCAACAGCAAGCAATAAAAAGCAAAAGGGTATTGATCAAGGATGGAATATAAGTATATAACCAAAAGATAGTGAGACAATATAAAGAACAAAAGGGCAATCAGTTTTATCAAAAAAAAAATCTCTATTTCTTTTTGTTGATGTTTTTTTACCTGTGTGATGAAAGAATCTAAACAATTCTTTTCAAAATAATGTGGGTGAAAATGTAATGAAGAAATTTAAAGATGAAGACAGTGATGATGAATAAACTGGACCTTGCAAGAAAATTATGAATCAAATGGACAGTAATCACAAAAAATAAATTGGAACTAAAAAAAAAAAAAAAAAGTAGAAAGATATCTAAGATTCTTGAATGCCCTTTTCAGGATGATCTCAGAAGAACCTCTCTTCAACCATCTTTTCTTAAAGAGGGGGGAAAGAATCTTGCTCTCTCTTTCTCTCTCTCCCTGTTGTTCCTCTCTCTAAAAATTAAAGAAACTTTATCTCTCTACCCCCTCAACAGGCAGGGTTGCCACCCCCACAAACACCAAACGAAATTTTATCTCTCTTGTTTTGTTTTCCTATTCTTTTACTAAGATTTTCTTGTATTTTTGTTATAAAAGTGGTTTTGTCATTCTGATATCAACAGGAACTATGGATGGTCCTACTCACATCTTTCTTGATCTACTATGACATCTGTGCCCTTCGCCACAATTTATAATTAGCACCCAATAAACAGAAACAACAGACTCTTCTTGTAGTAGACAAAGAATAATGGGTAAGCAGATGATTTTAACCTGGAAGCTATGTTTGAAGGTCACCACCTTGTTGTGGCTTCTATGACTTGTATGTGAAAAAGAAGGTATCTTTGAGATGATAAGTGAACTTTGTAACCCTTCCAATAGCTGTGCAACAAACAACAAAAAACTTTGCCAATTAGTAAAGAAAAGGCAAAGCTACCATCTTAGAATCTACTTTTTCAAAACTTGTTACTTTTGCACTATTTGTTTCATGTTTACTTTTCTTCAGGCATAACCCACTTTTCCATCTAAATTAAACCAACATACAAATTTATTGGGTAACTATTTACATGATTCATGAGATGATATATTCGACTGACCTTGAGGGATTGAAGATGACAGGTGTTTAACTCTGTCTCACTATAAAGAAGCAATTGCCTTAAAAGCCAACTGCCATCCGATAATGTATCTGTTAAAATTTTTGTTTGGCAAAAAGGACTAATCAATGCGTCTAGTACCTGAAACCATGGAGTTTGGATCCTCAACTTTTATTTTTATTTTTTTTAATGCTAATAACATTATGCCCAAAAAAAAAAAAAAAAAAAAATGATAAAGAGTAGGGAACAGAAAGTACTAGAAATCTATGTACACACGAGCTTTCTCCAACTTCCTGATAAGAACATGACACTTCATACTGGTCCTGTCAACAACAATTGAGGTGTCAAAAGGATCACATTTTTATACTTTCAGCATATATTTCAATAAGAATACTAAAGAACAAAAGATAATGTTCAAGTGGATGATGTAAGTAATGTATTGTCAACATGACAACTTCTAAGGATAGATTGCACATTTTTATAGAAAATTTGAACACCTCAGAAATAGTAAAATGTGTCAATGATCAGGAGCGTATGTTATATATGCACGTGAATACTGTAAGCAAATTATTAAATTTTTGGGACGTAAAGCTATTAAGAGCTTTTAAAAGAAAGTAAATGTTGGGATCTTAATTAGTAAACTTTATTTGTAAGGGGTGTAGTTCAAAATCAGATTAAGGTAAAGTCAAAGGATTTACATGAGAAGTATATACCAGTTTAGTTGCAGAAAAACGTAGCATTTTTATCTTTTTTTTTCCTGGTGCATGTTTTTTTAGAGAGGATTCAAGAAAGAAGAAACTTGAATGCAAAATTCTGGAAGATTTTCGTTCATGCAAGTTTGGTTTCAAGTTTAGCAACATGTAAGGGCAAATCAGTTAAGGAAGTTAAGCTACTGCAGTATCTAACTGCCATGACAGAAGCTTTTTGCAGTATTCTTTTAGGTAATTTTATTTTGTGGGTATGATTGACAAGTTAAGCTGTCACTTTTCTTATATATAAGTTACATCTAGAAGACAATATATAGAGTATATAATGAAAAAGAACCTTCAAATATCTGATAACCTTCATTTCTTATGCAAATTTTAATTAACAAACAGTGTTTAGCATAATTACAGTTAATTAGATGTAATGTACCTTCAGCCTTTGAAGGTAAACATTGAGTTCACCATTACAACTAAGAAACAAAAATGTTTTGTTTTTTGAACCCAAGTGCTATGACAATTTGAGATAAACCTCAGAAGAAGCGTGGAAACTGGACCACCATTCACTCCACTTTCCATCCTTCCAGACAAGACTTGGAACCACATTCCAGGATCATTGCCCCTACAATAACTGCAAGCAGAAGGTAGAAGCAAAAGGTCAATGGCTGCAGTAGCCAAAAGACCTGTTGAATGACAATTTGGTCACTCACCATATGTATGTGTGAAAACAAAAATATGCATATAGGAATCAGAAATTACCCCAAGCAATTGAAACAATCAACTTAACAAGGGGAACAAAATCAGAACCCATACATTCTTCTAACCTTTTAACACCATATCAACACAAAGAATTACCTAGAGAATTTCCACAATAAATACCAAGAATCGGAGAAGATGTTTAAAATCGACGACGTTGTGGGTGGAGGGACCAGAATCGGCGACGTTGGGGGTGGAGGTGGCCGGAATCGACGTAGTTGGGGTGGAGGAGGCCGGTTGAAATTTGGTTAAGAGAATGAGATGAAGAAGGTCTCGATTTGGGAGGGAGAAGTAAGAGCGTCGATCTGGGAGGGAGAGGGTTTATGTTTTCGTGAAATATTTTGGGGGGGAATTAATTAATTGGCAGGGGAAGTATTAGCAACGACAGATCGAGCCACGAGAAATTCCGTCGTGTTCCCTCGCTAATAGCGAGGGCTTAGCAAGGGATATGTTCTGTTGTTGCTGATTCGGGTAGCAGATCTGTTGATCAACATGTCTACAATTTAGGTAATCGATATGCTTTTAAAATCCGTCAAAACTTGCTTAATAGATCATATATCCGTCGCTAATTACTATTTTCCGTCGCTACTTCCGTCTTTGAAACCCATATTTCCAATAGTGACATGACATTATATATATATATATATATATATATATATATATATATATATATATATATATATTAAACGATTGACACTTTTTAGGAATAGTAAATTTATGTGGTTTTTGGCAAGAATAATCCTCTAGTTATGTGTTTGTGTTCAAATCCATCTTTAGGTTATTTTATGTCAGTATCCATATTTTGTGCGGACAGGTGTTGGGAATAGTTTTGGTTTCCCGGTCATTTTGTGTTCAAATCCGTCTAAAAGTGTAATTTTTGTTTTTTAAAACAAATATATATAAAATAAAAAAAATTAAAAAAAAAAACCTTTTACATCCTATAATGAAAATGAATATGTCAAAAATAGAAATTTAATTTATTTTTAAAGTCATTCTTAAAATATAAAGTTATTTTGTTTATATTTCAATTTTGCTGAAAGACATGTCGCATCCGACCCCACGTTCCCCACCTAGTTATTATAAATAACATGGATATTAACTAAAGTAATATTAATTTGAATTAACACTAAACATTTATTAATTAAAAAAAAGCTTTTTTTGAAAAAATGATCAACATTTCGGTCATTTCGAATAACTTATAAATACTTTTTTCTCGCAGAAAAATACTCGGTGTTGATTTCTTTGTATACATTTAATATTTCAAAAGGAAAAGGAATTCACGAATTTCAGGAAGAAATCTGCAATCTAATAAATAATTTTGGAATTTCGATAAAATATTTTTTTACTAAATATTTGACAAAAATAAATAAACGTGGCAAAATAGAGAATATATTTGATAGAAAGGTTATATCGTTTGATTCAAAAATGATGGTACTATATACTTCCAAATAGATATTTTGGACATGGATGAATAAAGTCTTTTGAGAAAAAAAAAATTATGCAAACAAGAAAAAAAAAGATTCACATTAAATATTTTTTATCCTTCTGAAATATTTTGTAATGATCCATTTAGAACAAAATGGATATTTTTGTAAAACACACAAAAAAATGATTATTTTTATTAAAAACTTTAATTGTAATGATTGCTTTAATCAATATCCCTAAATAATAATATAGTGTAACAAAAAAATTACCAAAAAATGTAATTGTGATATTAAAACTAGTGTTGTCCATTTAAATATTTATCTTGATAAAACTTATAATAAAGAGCATCAAAATGAATGTGTCTCAATATAGACTATCATCCTTGTCTCATATTCATTTTAAAACATCCACAACCTTTCAATTTTTATCTAAATAATCACAATCACTCAAGAATTTTTAAATTTATATCTTACTAGGTGATAGGCTTGTGTGAACACGAGTTCAATGATATTGATCTTCATAATAGTTCTACAACATACACACACATACCAATATGATTAAAATCAAAACATTACTAAGCATATTAATATGAATAATATGTAATATAATCATTACAAAGCTCTGAACATTATAATAAGGGTTGTCCATAACCTTTCAACTTCCATCCCGTTAATCCCAATCACTAAAGAGTTTTTAAACTTATATCTTGCTAAGTAATAGACATATATGAACAGGATCTCAATAATATTGATCTTCTGAATAGTTCTACCACATAAATATTTATAACAATATAACCAAAATCAAGAAATTACTAATCATACTAATATGATAACCAGTGTAGTATATATAAATTTTGAAGTTGTTCCTTCTAGACAACATTTACACGTTGTGTTTGATAAGTTGTCTTATTCATAAATGATTGCCACATTTATTCACACTTTGCTTGTTACTCTAGACTAGACAACATAAAGTTGTTTGTGGATCAACATAGTCTTCACAATAATAACCATGCTCTTGAAAGTAATTGACATTGGCTTTTATTGATTGTGATTGGCAAACACACTAATAAATTTAAATGGCATTCGTTTTTCAAATGGAGTTAAAAAGAATCCTTGTCATTAACATTCAAGACCCAACATTATTTTCAACTACATATCATAGCACCTACTTTCAACTTTAGTTTATGATTCGCTATTTGTGACAATTTGACGGAGTTTAGGAGATTAGATGAATACAACATTTCGGTCAACAAATTTTATTATTCTGAATTGTCTAATTTGTCTAAGCTTAAATATGTTTGTAAATAATAGCGCATCCGACTAAGAATAATAGCTTAATGATAAACAATGATCATTCTACACATGATTTAAACATCTAATATATTCAACTTCAAAATATCTTTTCATAATTTCATTTCTTATTACGTAACTCCAATCCTACCATTAGACTTGCATCCACGGTGATTATGAACTCATATCACTATTTATTCCTTTTTAAAATTTACGAACACTTATATTTCAACATCCATTACTTTCATTTGATTGGATTAAAACATTTATGTAAATTACTTGTCTTATAAATCATGTCATTCCATTCCAATGGTGGATATCATTAGAATTATCAACGGAAGTCACAATTCCATGAGACGTAACGAAATCATCTAAGAAGCAAATCGTAAACATATAATTCCTTTAAGAAGCAAATTATAAACATATAATTTCTTTTTCTCTAATCCTGGTCTAACATCCCCGAATGAAGGTGAATGAATCTCATTAAAGATGTCATGTTGGTCATTCATTTAAATTAAAAATATGCTTGGCAGACACAGTGAAACAAGTACAAGCTCACAGCAATCAATGGAGGCATCACTCGAAAAACAATCAGAAACTATATCATATCGTGAATAATATGAATGAATGCATGAAAAACAACCACAAACATCTACTGTTCACCAACAAGAACACAATTCAAACAAAATCAAATAGGAACATATTATACCATTGACATCAACTTTAATCAGTTGTAGAGAATTTACAATCCAAGACAGAAACATCAAATTCAACTTGTCCCATTACGACAAAAACAACTAAAAGTAAAAGACGAAGAAGAACAATTAGGCATGCTAACAACAGAATCTAAGCACGCTCACCACGGATACGCCTAGCCAACTGGATGTCCTTGGGCATGATTGTAACCCTTTTAGCGTGAATGGCACACAAGTTGGTATCCTCAAACAGACCAACCAGGTAAGCCTCTGCTGCCTCCTGAAGGGCCAACACAGCGTGGCTCTGGAACCTCAAGTCAGTCTGTAACAAAACAACCACTGATAATTACATACTGTAGAGAAATAGCTGTTGAAATTGCATAAACGCAGTAAACACACCTTGAAATCTTGAGCGATTTCACGAACAAGCCTCTGGAATGGCAATTTGCGGATCAGCAGCTCAGTACTTTTCTGGTACTTACGAATCTCACTGCAAGTTCAAATAGATATCGTAAGCAAAACTTAGGCATGATCGATCGTAGATGAGGACTAATATAAAATACTTAATCGAACTATAGTGTGAAATTATGTTAATCCTATTGAATTGATGATGAAGAGTTAGTAAATTTCAGAACAATAGTTTGAGAGAAAGTATAAGACTCACCGTAGAGCAACAGTTCCGGGACGGTAACGATGGGGCTTCTTCACTCCTCCGGTTGTCGGAGCTGATTTCCTGGCAGCCTGTGCGAATGTCGCGAGGATTAATAATCCACTAGCATGTGAAAGAAATTACCGAACTAACACAAAATCGAAACGGAGATCGACAAATTCCTCACCAATTTAGGCATAGAATTAAACGTCGCATACCTTGGTAGCAAGTTGCTTCCTGGGAGCCTTTCCTCCGGTGGACTTACGAGCAGTCTGCTTTGTACGAGCCATTGCGATTCAAATTACAAGAAAAACCTGAAAATAGGCAAAAAGAAATCAAGAATTAGAGCGAGAAAACAACAATCTGAAACAGTTAATTGTGGTTTTTGATGGGCAGGAAGAATGATTTTACCGAAATAGGAGAGTTGCTTGATTTGGGAATAGGGTTTTGGATTGGGGAAAAAAGCTCGGTTAGTTATGGATACGTGGGTATATATATACACGGTAAAACGTGGATTTAGTGAGAGAAATCGGGGATCCATCTACTTATCTCCGGTTGGTCGATATTATGATGGACGATTTTGATTGGTTACAAAAAATTGACTCGGATCGTGTTGTTGTGTTTGTTTGACTCGGTTTATTTGTGTTTCTTGTGTGTGTAGTGGATCCCCGAGTTGAACTCGGCCAACTCTTTCCTCGACTTAACCCATCTCCGTCGTTCATGGCCATTTTTTATTGTTTATTTTTTTTTACATATTTTCTAAAATTTCATAATTAATTGTATTTTTTTATGTCTAGTTGAATACTAACTTTTTTTTTAGATAGCTAATTGTTGAATAGTAACTTGATTTAGGGCGTGTTCGGTACAGAGCGTTTGAGAGTTTCTAGTTTTTAGCATTTGACAAAACGATCAAGCTTTGTTTGTCACTATAAGCTTCTAGCGTTTAGTTTAAACAAAACGGTTCAAATTCAAATGGTACATCATGTAACGTTTAACA